TCCTTCGAGAGTGGTGCCGACGCCAGCTGCTTGACTCCATTAGAAAAGGAAGAGTCATGCTGTTCTCCAGATCTTGTCACCTGACTACTTAAGGTCTCTGATTAAAATAGCACCTGTCGAGTTTGCAATCTCACTTTGGAGTTCCGGAAAGCAAGAAACAAGAGTGGCTGGGAAAAAGTGGAGCTGGGATGCCTGCGTACCACATGCGAGTAAAGCAGAGATTGGGCTCTTATATGTACACGCTATTAGGGGATTATTCGAAATGTGTCTGTAGCTTGTTATTGCACATGATGTAAGCGAACGGTCAAATAGATCTCATTATTATTTTAATCTAAGAAGCTTTAGGTTCAATGCAATGAATAGTCGCTCATAATTTTGGGAGACCCTGTACTTAGAAATGTAACTGTATGACCTTCTGATTTCATTGTACAGCCCATATTAGCTGTCTGATAATCAACAAAGATTAGCGCAGGCTGGAAAGCTGAAGGCACAGTTCACGATCAATTTGGGTTACCTAGCTTCAGACGAGTGATAGAAACGATAGTCCAGAATAGTGCGAAAAAGGCAAAAAAAGTATTGGAACGAGCAGTTAGAACGCGCGCGCCATTGCATACAGCTGGCTGCAATATTTTGAATGCGTGCAAAGTGTGGGTCCCGGTGAGGATGCTGCAAACGCTACAGCATTTAAAGCACTCAATAACTCGTCCACCTTAGATGTGTACGTGGGCTAAGCGTGTCTTCGGGCCTTACTACGCTCTGTCTTGACTGTTCTCGACCCGACAGCGACCTCAAGGAAGAAAATGAGAGCAAACTCCACCAATATGAAGAAAACGAGTGGAGTCAAATGGATTGAGATAATTAAGCATAGACTTTTGTAAAAGGAGCTTCGCAAGAAAATAGGCAGCTGCTTCCAATTTGTAAAGACGATCCAAACAAAGCCGCTATTAATACCAGTCGCCAATAATAAGCGAACAATTTGTAGATCCTGATAATCTCGATTCCATAATTGTGTTTTCGTGCTGCTTATTTTGAGCTTTTCATAGATTACACAGCTGTAATAAAGTGTCAAGCGACTGTTTGCGACGGATTAATCCGTCTGCCACAAATTAATCCTCATAAAGTTTGCTAGGGTAATCCAATCAAGTTGAAAGTAAAATCATCGAAAAGATCTGCTCGTGATGAACCCAGATATATAAAAGAACTCCTTAGTAATTGAAAATTCCGCCTTAATTCTTATTTTGCCTTCAACTCTAGGAGAATGAAGAACGAGTCTTTGTGCACCTAGGGTGTTACTTGAAGATACAACAGCATCGTGAATCCATCACTCTAACTGGTAGCTTCGTTTTAAGTGTCTTAAAGATATGTACAACACTACATATTTTCGAGGAGAGCACAAAGCATTATTTTGATACCCCTCATGACAGAAATCAAGAAAATCTGCAGAAACAGAGGCTCTAATTTCTAATTTTCAGAAGACATGATAATCTTTTCCGGCAGTGCATCTCATAAGAGCCAGGTAGTTTCGACTCATTCAGAGGCTCAGAGCTTGTGGTGTAAGAGACACACGCAAAACTACGTAGAAGTAGTGTGGTCGACAGATTTTTTTTTCAAGTTCCTCAGTGTATCTCAATCATGCACATTGCATTGCTTCCATTTTCTACCGGCTATGATATGGCTTGAAAAAAGTATTTGTCACAGCGTTGTCGTCTCTTTCTACCCATTGCGTACCGATATGTGTCAACAGGCCTGCTTCTGAATGGACATGACAGATGCGAAGGCGGTTGGTCCATAGAGATCGATGGTGAGGGGTCAATTAGCTAACCGTTCAGTTAAAAGGCGACTCGACCATTAATCAGTGAAGTTTCGCGCCTATCGCTTATGTCGGAGCACAACGATTAAGTATAGTACAACTATTGCAACTATAGAGTCATTACTTTGAAAAGTTCAGTTTATATGTGAACACACCTGAGCTTCTTCGAATGCGCCATCTGATGCAACTAATCAACTTTTTCTGTAAACAAAGACTTCTTAATCGTGGCCGTTCCCAGACCATATCACAGGCTGATTGACATTGGAAGCAATCGTGAAATGTTCATCAACTGCAAATTAATATGAACTTAGAATAAAAATTTGTAATGACCTTTGACTATTCTAGCATGCATTTCTTGTATCACATGACCAAAACCTTTATATAAATCAAAAATACTTCGTTCTTCATGGAATGCTCCTCAAGTCATGAAGGATTCCAAAATAAATACGATCCCGTGCTCTCCTCGGATATAGCGTCACGATTGGTAGGCAGTCAAATGGTCTCTATGCAGAGTACATGGATAACAAGAAGCAGCGAATGTCGAGAAACTGATGATTGAGCTCCTGCTCCTGAGTGGAAGTGTCTATGATCACGAAGGATATCAAAATGATCAACATTTTGTGCCTGATCTCTATGGTGCACATCATGCCGTTCTGAACCATCAATCATCATCATAACGAAATTTTCAGTCGGAGTAGTGGATCTACGATGTTGTTATATCCTCACATCATACCCTAGGTGCTAATAGACTCGAGTTTCATTTTCGCTGAGTAATTATTTCGGCAAAGGTTATGACGACGCAAAGGTTCTCCCAAACCGCCGGTTGGCCACGGATTATTAGCAGTATTGTACCTCATTCCAAAGCGTGATTCTAATTACATTTCACTCCCTCCCAAATCACACGACCCATCCAAGAAACGGAGAGAGTGAAGAGGGACGCTTGAATCGCATTTGATCGCAGGTAATAGGAACGTTGGCACAGTCTTTCATTTGGGTTACCTTTCGAAGAATTTTGTTATTCTTGCATTCGCGTTCCTTATTTTATAGCCATTAGTATCGAAAGATGCAGCTCATGCTCAAGATCGAGTCAAGTCGACAATTTTTTCAAGGTGCATCAGTGGAAGCAAACCACTCCTATTCACGTCAGATTTTTCAAGAAAAATAGCCAAAGTTGAAAGCTCGAGAGCGGCCTACTCTCGTTAGCGATCTATAATACGTATTTGCTTATTATGTGAATTTGATCCAGCATCTGAAATGTTCCGTCATTTAAATCTGAGAACCACCAAGCTTGAATGTATTTCGTATATAGTAGTCTTTCTTTGCTCGGTGCGGCTTCCTACACCTTATTGCGTACCCATTTCTTACCTTTGTTTTCTTCAAGAGTTTATGATTATGTTCCCTAAAAGATACTACATAAACTGGTGTGCAAAACTTAGAAGTAAAAGCAACTTACGTTTTTTGCACCCATGCCAGATAATAGAGCTCGGTGAGATTCATACTACACCAAGGGAATCAGGGGTCCATTACATAGTGCACAGAAGCAACTGACAGAAAATCAATATAACAAGCAGAGACGACATTTTTAATCTAAGGTAGCGATTACACATAAGTTTTCACAATTTATTCTGATACTTCAAAAAACAACGAGTTTCCTCATAGGGTGTGTGATCACGCAGGCAAATACATACTCTGCAACGCGGTCCCTCACTTTCCACGAGGTTGGCAATAGTGATTGTGGTAGGGCATTCCACTCCTCTATCACCGCTATTGACAATTGCTGGATGGTTTCTCATGCATATAGACGTGCTGCAATGCGTCTACCCAATGCATCCTACACGTGCTCGAAGGGGTTCGGGTTGGCGATATATCCTCTTAAGCCAGGAGTTCCTCTACCTGTGCTGTTCGATGTCGCACATTGTTCCGTACATTGTCGATTTCATAATTCCTATTTCCGTTGAACTGGAACGTTCAAACTCGGTAGAACTACAGGAGACTGTACAGGAATGCTGATGGTAGGTGACGCGGCTACACTTCGCACACAGGGGCCGGGGCATGTACGAAATATTTGCAGAACCGAAAGCCCATAACCCGTGTCCCAGTAGACCTAGAGCGTTCAGATTTGGTCGTAGTTCAGAGTGGAGGATGTGAACGCTGGTTATAGGTCACGGGACGAAACTCTGCCCATCGTGGGCGGAGGGCGAGCGAAAATAGTTAATTTGGGAGTGTGCGTTCAAATATTAGGGATACAGATGGCGGGATTAGGACACTAATGATAGGAGGTGGGAAGCGTCTGAGGCGATTCTGTTGGGGGCGGAGCGTGCCGTATAATGAGCGTAATCGAGAATATTTTTGCAGCCAAGTTAAAAAAAAAAGAGGGAAATGATCCAAGTCATTCAAACACACATGAGCGGAGCAGGACTACGCTCATGACGGAGGCCCTCACGAGCTGCGTCGGATGTATGCATGTGTGTTTAGCTGGAAAAACCCTCCTGTTTAACCTATCCAGAGCGTCCCAGTTTTGGAAGGGATGGGGGAAATAAACCATTTTTGTACAAAAATGAGAAGCGCTCGGCTAAAGCCGGGCGATTCGATTGGTGAATAACATTTGTCGTAATATCGAAAAGGCTTTATATTGAGATAACCGAGATGCAGTCTGCCTTTTCGGAAGCAGGGAATGGAAGACTTCGAAGAACTTATTCGCAAACATTTAGATAGCCGCACTCGGGAAGAAGAATCGAAAAAATGTTGGACAGGTGTGCACGGACGCCTATGTAAATACCCATTCTAATTGTTCAAGAAGTCACGGAAAAAGCGATTACGCTCTTTCTGATCATTTTCTCAATACCTAGGTTGGTTCTCACATTTTTCATAGAGTATGTTATATAGTTCGACAGAGCTCCTCAAGCTCTGCGGAGCTGTGAATTACAAATTTCAGAAAGATCAGTTTTGAAATTTTCCGTCAATCGAACTTTTAGAGGGCATGCTATTAGCAACAACGCTTGTTATAGATATAACCAGGAGGCATTTGTTTATATTGAAAGTACTTAGTGAGTTGTGGAGTAATTAACGTGTTTCAAACATCCCTGAGCGTCTCAAATCAAAAATCTACAGAACCGTCATCCGGCCCGTCGCGATTTACGGCGCCGAGTGCTGGCCTACGACCAAAGAAGTTGAAGCTCGTCTCAGTGTAATGGAGACCAAGGTGCTGCGCTGGACAGTCGGAGTAACACGACTAGTCCGCATAAGTAATGACGCCATCAGGGAGCGATTCGGTGTAGCGCCTATTGTCGATAAAATGCGCGATGTCCGAATCCGTTGGTATGGCCACGTTCTCCGCGCGGATGAATTCAGTGTTCGTAAGATCGGTTTCAACCTAGATGTGTCCGGAAAGCGGCCTAGAGGGCGCCCAAAGCAGCGAAGGCTCGATACGTTGCACGAAGACCTCAAAACGGTTAACATCCACCCCGATCAAACGTTTAATCGGGAGAAGTGGCGTCAACATATCGAAAAGCGTACCCCGCCTACATGCGGGACAGGCGCTAAAGAATAAGAAGAAGAACGAACGAACGAAAAATTGATCGTTGCATTCCTGAGGTCGCACGGATCATCGCGATGATCTTTTGTAATCAGACCAATTGTCTCTGAACCTTTTTCAATGGCAATGGCTTTTTGAACTAAAAATGGTGGATATGAGTCGATTGCTGTCCTTGAAAAATAAAAATGACATGCCCGTACTTTGGAAACAGTTCTTCTTAGGGTTTGCAAATGGCACGCCTGGATGCAAGAGAAAAAGCTATATAATCGTTGAAAATCTGGTACGCGGCATGTTCTTACAAAAATTATCTTGTTGCTAGCTTTTTCGAGCGAGATTCCAGAAGTTCAAGAAGAAGTTCATTTTCGTAGATAATCACGCTAAATTATCTCTAAACAACACAAAAACCAACTGCAAAAAAATAGTCACCACGAACATAGGGCCTTATATAGGCATCCGATAGATTAAATCTCACTTTTTCTATATGAAGTGGAATTCTGAGAAATCACATATTTCAGACGCGCTTTCGAAAAACACCTCAGTGATATTAGATTTAATTCACGATTTTCACTTCGAATGAACACTTTCATCTCCGCTTTTCTACCCTGCCCATTCACTCGGCCAACCAATTAGCTATCTGGCTCAGCTGACCGAGACAGAGTATTGATTGAACTTGCTTTGATGTGCGCTAGCGACCGAACGCCCTCAGAAATTTGAACTATCAATCGAATAGATACAGCTTTTACATGCAACTGTCTTCATCGAAGTAGTTCACCCTGCAGAACAAGATGTTTGGTCTACCGAAGCTGAGTTTCAAATATTATTTAATAAAGTGATAGCTTTTTCTTCTACCTCGAATTTATACTGTTCCTATCCTACATACTTCTTTATATCGATTCATGCGCAGTCTTCTCTATAGAAACTGGCTTCAGTACCAATCTCAGCGGCTTTTGTGATAATTAACAAAGGAATTCTTTCGCACTTCTACAATAGCTTACCTATTAGTGTTGTCGCAGTCTCGAGCTGTTTTGCAATTTACGTATCTAAATGCCGCCACTACCCGCGAACTGATCAGCCTGAAAATGGTGCAAGTATTCAACTTCACATGAATCACGTTGCGAAGTATCATCTGATGGAATGAAATTTGGAAGTATGACTCGTTTTCGGTAGAAACCAAATATCTTGTTCCGCAGAGCGATATTAATTGAAAACAGTAGTATATAGTCGATAAGCTCATTCAACGAGAGGCGCGACTATCTAAGGCGTTTTGGTAGGTGGCGCACATTAGAGCAAGTTAAATCAGTATTCTGTCACGGCCGATGAGTAAGCTAATTGGGTGACCGAGTGGATGAGCAGGTAGAAAACGGTGCTGAAGGTGTTAGATTTGAGTGAAAAATGTGAATTGATTTTCATATATATGAGTAGGTTGTTGAAAACTGCTTTGAACGGTGTAAATTTCTAGATCTTCAGTATAAATAAAAGGTTGAGATTCAATCTCCGGCGCCTCGGGGTGATATCGCAAGCCTATATAAAGTTCGAGGTTCGTGGTGACTATTTTTTGTAATAAGTGATTATTAACGCAAAGTATAATATGATCATTTCTGAAGATGTGCGTAACTTCTCCTGAACATCGAAATCTCTGTCAGAAAGGCTAGAAACCGCATGCTTTTTGAGAAAACAAGCCGCGTACCGGGTTTTGAACAATTGAATAGCTTTCCTCTCGAACTCATGTGCTCATCTTGTGAAACATGGAAAAGTGCTGTTTCTGAAGTATTGGCTTGCCCGTAATGGAGACAGGAATTAAGCCACATCCGCCTTTACTCATTACAAGAAGCCACTGGCATTCGAAGATGGTGCATGGTCAAATTCGTCCATTTTCAAAAAATCGTAGCAGTGATCAGTGCAACCTGCTGATTATAACCATAGCAAGCGTCGTTGCCAATGACGTACCCTTGAAAACTTTGTTATACGGAATACTTCAAAACTGAACTTTAAAAACAAAAACATATAACACACTATATGAAGGAGAGGAAGCTAACCCAGGATTTAAAAAACACGGAAAAGACGCGAAATCGCACTTCTTTGATTTTTTATGTACTACTGGGGTGGATGTTGTAAGTTTACGTATGTATGCACATGCCAGTAGGTCTGCATATGCATTCCGTTCGCTGTGCGTGGATTTGCGTGTTAGTGTCAGTGTGATCTCAGTACGACACTCTGTGCCTGTGTCTGGATACGTGTCCTTGGGTGCCAATGTATGCATTGTATGTTTATGTCTGTGTGTTTATGTCTAACAATAAGAGCGTCTGTTTGTGGGTCTATGTAGGTGTCTGTATGGGGCTATGTATGTATGTGTGTCTATGGTGTGTCGAAAGGCTTCTCTGTGAACGTGTGGGTCTGTGTTTGCAAGTGTTTGTCTGCGTGCCTGTGGGTGTGCCTTGATGTGTATATACAGTAGCGCTCAAAAGTATTCGGCGAAATGCTTCTTCAGTTCAATATTTCAATCGCAACTTCTCTCCTACTGGATCTAATCATGCAAAAGTCCGACACGTGTGGCATGGGTGCACCGTGAGTATTTGCCACTGTTGACCTGCTATCTGTTCATGTTCCAAATTTTCAAGAGAGCTTGAACTCGAAATCATTGGAAAGACAAACATTGGTCCCTCTTGGATTTCTTTCCTTTTTGCTATGTCTTAAAGGCACTGTTCACGAAAAAATGGTTTCGGAGATCTGCACATGGTTTGAATTCGACGCCCCCTCTGATACCATTTGTGCAGGAATGAGGTCGGAAAACGGTCTGGATAGGGCACAATAAGGGCAGGAACAGCGGAGGACGGGAGGCCTCCGCCCCTCGCTAGGCTGACTACGAAATCTAATTGCCTTTCATCACTTTCGCATTGGGCGAAGTTGTCTGCTTGGGTGTGTTGTCTGCTATTGCAGACATTGCATCGCCTTCCTGCACTCGCCCGAACGCTCCCTTAACCGCCGTTCTTCCAATGTGAAACTCGTCCAACCCCCCTTTCCAGCTCTTTTTTGACTCTTTCTATTTCTTCTTGTTCATCGTTTTTTGCGCTTTTTTCGTTGTTATCACTTTATTCTAGAGTAGTTCTATGAAATCCCGTCAAAAAAGGTTACCCTAAATTTATCGTAAACGGTGCCTTTAAGTGTACGAGCGTTAATGCCGAACACAGTAGGGAAGAATAATGCACATAAGGTGCCAATAACTGCAGGCGTCACTAACTTTGCTTAAGCGAAGTCTGTTACCGCTAAAAACTTCCTGCTCTCAGTTATGTGGATGTTGCTGCTTTGCCGTCACACAGGGTTGGATGGTGTAGAATATGGTTCAGTTAAACATATCAAATCTAGCGCGATTTGCCCCAGTAAGAAAAAAGTCATGGACGAAAAAGCGTGAAAGATGAATAAGGTGAGCGCTAGGAGCGGAGTGAGAGGGGGGGGGGGGGGGNGGGGGGGGGGGGGGGGGGGGGGGGGGGGGGGGGGGGGGGGAGAAGGAGGGAAAGCGGGGCATCCATCGTAGAAATCAAGTCATTCTGATAGGATCTCAGAGCAGCCCAGATATCTGCACGATTGCGAGAACCTGTACGAAGAGCTACCAGATAAAACGAAGGCAACCGATTAGGGACAACTCGCTCATGAACTCATTCAGAATTTCCATATGGCCTACACTTCAGAAGAGTTGTTGAAAGAAGCGAATTTCTTCACTCAGTTCCGAAACGACCCTATTTCTAGACAAAAGCAGAAGTAAACTGATCGTTTGGTCAAGTGATGCTTCTGAAGAAACCCACACTCAGCGACGGGTGTGTTTTCGATCTTTGCGGTGCCCTCGAGTTGAGTTCATTTATCGATTTTAGAAAAGAAATCAGAAGAAACTAAAATAATAAGGCATGCTGGCCGTTTCAAGCGTGCTCATATTGAATCAAGCTCAGCGTTGGGGTGGAAATTCCGAGTGACAAATGTTTCCACTGAAGTTCAACTGTCTCCAAAAGCACTGTGGGGTTCAGCTCAAATTAAGGAGGACTACCAAAAAACGGTTCAAGTTGGGCGTGTTGTGTAATCGCACTGCTTGAATTTCAAGACAGAATATGAAGGTCTTGTCGAAAAGCATTTCCGAGCTCAGTGAAGCAAATAAAGGGAAATCAGCATCGGCAGGAAGGCCAGTGTCCATGGTAGATGTATCAAGGCCGGCTAGCTGAAAGCAAAAGTTTCCATTCTTGTAGACACCCGACGAAAAACTGACAGATAACACTGAACAAATAAAGGAGTGCATGCACAGAGGTGAGCAGTGCTGAAATCAGAAATATTAACAGCCTAAATCTTGCCTTTGCTTCTTCCATCTGTTAAAGTCAACATGGAGGCAAGTTGGATAGGGAGCGGAAGCATGCCTTCTATAAATGAGGACCTGCGAGCTCCGCGATGGCTTGTGTAGTTAAACTGATGAAGAACTACTAGTATCATGTGAAGCGTTCGCACGTGTCTGTTCGTCTGTATGCCTTTATGTCTTTCTCTCTGTTTATAACAAAATTTGGTATCACCTCAAAAAGTACTCAGTTTCAGAGTAAGCGGGAAGAAAGGAAAGAGCAACGAGCAAGTGTTGCAAATCGATTGGATTCGGATCAAGTAGGTGAAGAGGAAATACGTCTAGGTGATCACCTTCACATGAAAAGGATGCCAAGTAGACTAATCACTTCACTCATCACTTTTTCTCTCTTCCAGTTCTCAGTTCATGTAGTGACACTTGGAAGGATTAGTAGTGAAAACAAATACTCACGTCGGGTCGCTTCCACCGACCCACAGCTCGATCAGCTCCGTTTTGGAATAGTGAAGATAGTTGTTATAACAGGGTGTCCGTCACAATCATAGGAATAGGGATGTTATAATGGCTCCACCCCCGCGAGACTGCTGGAAGCACGACGATACAAGACAATCGAAAAAGTCGACTGACAAGGAAGGTCTTTCAGGGCGTGGGACGCTTTTTGAAAATGGTTTTTTGCATGGTGTAG